CAAGCAGGATTGGCCTAGGGAATTTTTAGTGGGGTTTTAAGTGAAATTTTAATTATATAGGCCATAGTGAATATTTCTTTTTAATTTGGTTTTAAATTAGTATTTATTGTAGTATCTGTTTTATAAGGCTGTCAGCCGCCCTGAGTCCGGTAAGGAGAAGGGCGGGATAAAAATTGAATAAAATAAATAAATAAATAAATAAATAAATATGAAACTTGCTTTGCTCTGCTTTAAAAAGCCAGTATCTCTGCAGTTAGGGTGCACTTATCTAGGTATGATTGCATTGTAATTTTGTTTAATTTCAGGGGAGCAATGTGTGGATATGCTTCAGTTCTGTGTCCAAAGTATGATAATATGTCTGGTTGTCAAAAAATTAAACTATAGCTGTCCAGAAAATTGATCAGAAACTAAAAGCAGAGCTCCTGACCCAGAGCCCCTCTTTTGGCAGGCAGCCCTTTCAGCCAGTCCCCAGAGACGAGAGGGAGCTGAAATCTGAATGTCAGGGCAGCAGAGTAAAGTAAGGAGTGGGTCTGCCTCAGGCAAGTGGGGGATGTTCTAGGAGCCCTGTGCAGACTTCACTCACATCTCTTCACTTGGGTGCTGAAAATCCTGCTTGAATTTCAGCAGGGAATGCCGTCCACTTACAACCTAAAAGATCACTTAATAACCATAGCCAGCAGTGCCAGCATTGTGGTCATTGAGAGAAGCAGTCACATGGGCATCTCCCTTAACGACCACTTTGCTCACTGACTGAGATTTTGGCCCTAATTGGGGTTATAGGTCAAGGACTACTTGTAAAGAAGAACCTGCAGCTCCGCATAAGGACACCCAAGTAACACTGTTGATATTATCTGTCTTAAGCATATATTTAGATAGTTGCCTTATGGCGAGGAAGAGCATTGTTGGGAAAAGGATATTTCCTGAGCCTTTTAACATGTAGATGGTCTCAAGATCAGAGTTCATACACTGCCCTTTCTATTGTAGTCTGTGAAGTCAGCCAGACTCCACTCTGATTAGTTTCTCAGTTGCTCTCTCCCCCACTCCTAGGTCTGTTGGTTTGATGCATGGCAAAGGCAGTAAGAAGAAGTATCCTTTGATCAAGCCCAGCTATGAAGCCAAAGCTACTCGAGGTCTTTTTCTTCTCGGAACTGCAAGCCATTCAGTAGATTTTAGGAAATCTGCTGGCGGTTTTATTCATGGCTTCCGATACACAGGTGAGTTTGGAGATGGGGAGAAAGTGAATGTGAGCAAGCTCAGCGGTGACACTGTTCTGGCATTTGAGGCCCATCTCTTTTTTTTCTTTTAAGCAAATTATTCCATTCTTTTTTCCGTTTATCAACAGAAGTAACATACTGCAATTTTTTCAGCAATACCTTTTCTATTATAAACAATGCTGAAAGTAGCAAATGCAAGTAAAGAACACAACTAAAAATTCAGCTTGAAAAGCCAATTAGTTATTATGCAACATATAAGCATTATACTGCCAAATGCTTTTTTACATATTCTAAAAATATTTAAATTACAATTTCAATATGCCGTAAAAGAAAATGGGTAGGAAGGGACAAATAAGGGTCAGGTAGTACATTTACACCAGCCACCCACTGTTATCAAATTTTCTCTGATCTCTCTCATTGTTGCTACAAAGAAAAGCTTTTTCTGTATCGATCTGGAAAAAATTGTGGTTCTCCAAATATTTCTAAGCTACAGTTTCTGGCATCCCTCACCAGTTTTGGGAAGGACTCCCCAACAGCGGTTGTGCTATTACTAAATCTATCAGATGTGAAGGCCAATAAAGACTCAAACATCTGAATTTGTTGTTTCAAGAGTGTGGGACAGTCAAAGAATAATATAGTAACAGCATTATCCTTGTTTTTCTTCTGCCTGCTATAGTGGGAAACTATGCCAAATAATTGTAAGCTTTTTGGCTGTAACCCAAAACTTACTTGTTGCACTTATTAGGGCAGTTCTCTTAGCATGTAATATTAAATGATAATATCTGCCTCGTTTGTTCTTCCCCCATTATGCAGCCCGTGCAGTTCATCGCTTACTAGAAGTCCGTCACCACAAAGTGCCCTGGCC